CTTGGGTATCTTCCGCCCTGGTACCGTATCCACGTCTTCTGTCTGGGCTGCGAAAACTTTACTGATATGTGACTCGGCCGGTGTTTTGCCAGATTCTGACGATCACATACATATCGCTCCTTCTGCAGCTCACAGGAAAACAGCAAAATACTGTGGAATTGTTTTGCTTTTCCGCACGCTTTTTTTCCTTACAGGGGTCGGGATCAAGACACTAAATTGGCTGAAAACGTGACTGTGGGTAGTCTAACATGCTGAGAACGAATGCTATAAGCACAGAGAAACCATCGCATTCGATTTCTGTGAAGGAACCAGTGTACGTGTGAGTGATTGTGGCCTAAACGAACCTCAGGTGTGGTAGCACCCGTGGCGCGCTCTACAAGAATTTTGTTTTGCTGAAAGAGAGTGATATCCGTAGTGGTGCTCGAATAGCGATGTCAATATGCCAAGAAAATCAGTGCTGGAGAAACAACAGAAAAAACAAATGTCCCAACTAAAAGCCCTTGCAAGCGCAGTTGTACAAGCAGGAGCGGAATCAAAGGAAGTAATCGAACGAAATCACCGGGCGAGTGGTGTGGTGATCGTATGGTCGCCACAAGTGATTACAGTTGATTTCTATTGACTGCAATGTTTTTGCCTTGTCCTCCAACTGGTCTTCTGTTATAATGGCTGAAAAGAACGGCGGACGGGGTCAATGACATTGGGTTGGGCCGGCATCGTCAGCTTCCTCGAAAATGGTGCAATCGCTACCTCTGCACACCAGTCTACCTGCTCCTATGGGAGAAGGGAGCTTCAACTGATCGCGGGCACTGCCTTCATGTGAATCATGTTTCCCGTACAGACGAGCTGCTAGCTAGAAGTCTGAAAATTCGACGCTACTTTGAAAGAGTGAGACATTTGTGCGTAAGTTGCGGAGCCAGTGGTCGGACTCACAATTACTATCTAGTCTTGTGGTGACATTTACTTCTAATTATCAAAAGATTGAAGTAGTAAAAGAACGGAGTAGCGCAAGGCGACGCCTTGAAGGGGAGGATACGCTGCTAGCTCTCTCCTTTCAGAAGGGTGAGGTGATAAGAGGGAAGAGCCAATCTCAGCGATAGAGAACTCGTCCGGCTACACTTCCTCATCGACTTTTGCATGGCCAAGCGCAGTTCAGCATAGGACTTCATAAGGGGCATTTCGACTTTTTTTCTGCTTTTTTTCTGCTTTTTTTCTTCACTACTGTGTTGGTTCCCATCTTGTCATTGGTAGAGAAAGCAACCCACCTTTTTTGAGCGCAAGGTGTTCCTTCACAGTTCTTCAAGACAAGCCCTTGCAAGATCCATGGAAAAGTTCCTGCAAAGACCCGTCCACGACGTCTTGCTTGCAACGGTTGCCGACTGGTCCATGTTGCTACGACCAATAGCCACTTTACCCTGCGAAGGGCACCTCTAGTGTGATAGCCTTGTTCGCTGTAGATGATGTGGCGTGCTAGGGGCTGAGTGCAGCTACTACTACTGATACTGATGTTGCTGATTTTTATGTGATGCTTTCAGTACGGACTTTCAGGATGACGAGTACGAGCCGGTCGAGGAATGCTTACTGAACAGAGCCGAACTGCCGCTGAAGACGGTACAAAAGCTCACAGAACAAGCACGGAAGCTCGGCAAGCTTATTCGTACCAGGAACAGGTTGCAGCAGCAATACTGCATCAATCGTGAACAACCGCAGCTAAACGATGAGTTCAGGTAAGCAGCATTCGTCGAACAAGTTTGCGTGACCAAAGGCAAATTCCACAGCAGACGACCACATGCGGTCGACTTCTGATCAGTCCACTACAAAAAAGCAAAACAAACTTGCAGTAAACTGCAGAGCAACGGCATCGTTCGCCTCTAGTCTCTTTGGACGAGTTAGGGTTGACCGCTTGTTTTCATTAAAGACATGACGGGGATCTCTGACTTAGGATCGATCACTTGTACAAGATTAGGATCGATCACTTGTACAAGAAAGCCCGATTTGTAATTGCAGTGGATATACCTTTTTCGTCAGTCAAAATTTGCGACAGGGGGAACTGCTCATTTGTCATAGTAACCCAACACACTAGTCGGCATTGCGTTTATATATACCTAAATGGAATCGTGTTTGCGCCTCGCTCATATCTGCTCCCTCATGTCTGTCTTCATCTATCGCCCACGCTCGCAGGGTCTCCTTGCCTCTCGCTTTTTCTTGCTCGTCCAGTAAACTAAACGGGAGAGAAGGGCCCTTACTCGGAGCGTCTTGATGTGTTTTTTTTCCAATTTTCGTCGGTGATCGCGGAACAATTATGTAAGATCACATTTGCGAATCTGACACAGCATTTAAAGGGTTTTACCTCAAGTGACAGGGAACCCTCTCACACAGCCATTTCCGTCCCGTTCTCAGAATACAAGATAATTATAGCGTGAAACTTCTGAAATGCGAAGCGTCGTTGGAGTTAGGTAGCGTTCACATCCGTGACGCTGCCGATCGTTGTCGGATATGATTCTGTCAAAAGCTGTAGAGCGCAGGTAGCCGATTTTGAAACCAGTGACAAATATGCTCCATAATGTATGACTGAATTGCAGGATGGGGAAGAATTCAAACTAAGGTCTAACCTTGAGGTCCAACCATCGCCGCATCGCAGCGAGAGAGAGGCGAGCGGAATTCTCTCTACATGCGTGGCATTTGCATCCGTCCGTTTTATTATTTGCAAGTGCGAAATTTATACAAGTACTGGGAACGATATCAAACTATCAATACCAAACAATATGTGTACTTATCTAAGCAACATATTAACAGAATATGAGAACAATCCACAGAACTTTACTAAGGGGCCTTTGTTTCTTTTGCACGAAATCTTGAAAAAAAAACGGAAGGAGCTGCTATAATATTACTATGGGGCCTTTGTTTCTTTTGCACGAAACCTTGAAAAAAAAACGGAAGGAGCTACTATAATATTATCAGTACTATTCGTTCCCAACAAAAATATCGTTTAGAAGAATGCGAAGTGACGTTGAAGAGAACTTAATCATTCATCTCACAATAAAGTGGGCAAACACTGCCGACAAAACTCTTCACTTTCGGATATAACTAGCCAAAAAGTAATGGCTTTTCAAATAGAGAATGTTCATGACAAGCATATGAAGGTTATGGCTGTATTGGTGAATAATTAATTGAGCGCAAACATACTTGAAAAAGACAGTGACAAAGGCAAGACAAACACACTTTGATGTAGACGACTAGCGTCGCGGTCTATTACCAGGTGGACGACCTTTGTGACAAAGTGGTTGTGTCCGAGATCACAAACAGCGCAGAACTGTAAAGTCGTCCCCGTCGGACGGTCCCAAGAATTTCAAGCACCGATTGAGCTTGCGCCTGCACCGTCCTGAAAACTGGTTCTGCATAAAAATGGGAACGATGGGGAGAACTGCGAGTCGTGGTTCTCCTTGACTGTGCAGAATATACAGTTGGACTCCGGGCTGCTCTGGTAAAGAGCACACTTGTGTGCTCCATTAATACTTCGCTCGTTGTCAACAGGTAGTGCAGCTGATTAAGTTTTTACTGCGGTGCTGTGGTGCTCAGCAAATTAAGAAACTTATAGAAGGCCACTGAAGGAGAGTCGTCGTCGTCGGATAGCACTCAGTTGTGACATCTTTCATGGGTTGGCGCAATTTCAGAGTTGAGACAGAGTGACCAGGCGATATATTCCCCGATCGGCTTTCGATTATTCTCGGCATTACAGGCGTGATAGTTCAGTGCGCTTTGTTTGCCTCCCGAGATTGACACAGATGGTTTATTAAGCTGACGTTTTGCGAACATCCCCTTCTTCGGAGCCTCCGTTTGGAGCTTATCATCGAAGCTATTCACCCAGTAAGCATTTCACACTACAGTAAGAAAACGGGTACGACTGCTTGAGAAAGCATACAAGAGACGGGTCTCCCACTGTAATTAGGACATAAACCTTAAGGGGCAAATTTGGAATGGTTGAAACCGGTCAATTGCTGAACGGTGTAACTTGAGCCTAATGGGTGTAATAGTAATTTGAGATTTTGAATGATGGACCGGAGATTGTAGGGACCATTCGATCAGGTTGGTCAAGGGGTCCATACTCGGTCGCCGCGCATCCAACATAATTACCGATTTTATGCTTAGAGCTGAACAACATCCCGTCGGCCCCTGCGGGATATTAAATGCGTCGATCAAGAGGCGCAAAGTTCCGCGAAGGGTGCCAGCTACCTGGTAATCGCAGTGCTAACTAACGCAGTGGTAACTACTCCTTCCTGTTGGTTTTAGCGGCAAACCGTAAGGCCTCAAGTGTCTTGCGTGGCGAAACATCTGGTCCCTGTGCTGTAGCTTTCATCGCAAAGTCCACGCTTTGTGTCTTGTGATCACCAAGAATAGTGCATATCTTGGGCCTCTTGAGTCCGTTCAAGCACTCCTTCACCCTGACGCAGGGCGGTCTTCTCGTTCCACCCACATATTAATCCCTGCACACTGACACGTGATGAGGTAGGATCCTGAGGTCGTATAATCCCCAGTTCTTCCGAATGGACAGCTTACGCGTGAGGATTAAGCAGAGCTGGTCATAAAGACCATTCCGAACCAACTGTCCCTTCACGTTTGGAGAAAGCATCTCAAGTAATCTGACCACGTCCTCGGGATCCGCTTATTGTGAGCAGATGCGAGGCAGCGCTCAGGTCATCCGAAACAAATGGGATACAGAAAGGTACCTGGTCTATTCAGCTTCCTGGCATACTCTTTTGAATGTGGACCACTGCTCCAATGCCATTTATAATA